CGTTATTTATACACCAATTTTGTTTGGTTAAAGACAAACTCGCGAGTCCCCTGGATCTACTTTGTTGCTATACTTGATTATACACGGTGTCCATTTTTCGAGTGCCACTATGGGGATCTCACTTATCTTAAGAGATAGAAAGTTGGTTAAATTGGGGCAAAGTTGCAAATTTCCGTGCTGAATAAAAATCTGAAACGAAATTTGAAATATCTTCAATAGTTTAAAAGATATCGCAAAAAAACGAAAATTTCTGATTTTGGTTTTTAATTTTTTTTGGATAAACTAATCGTAGTAGACATTTCTAATTGACACATTATTCGGACACTTTTTAATGGAGATTTCACATATGGCATCTTGTTTTTAATTACTTTCAAGATGACGGAGAAACACGTGGCAACTTTAGTTTTTCTTATGGGCGCCATATTGAATTTTTACATTTCGGGATTACGTCTTTTTCTCTCTTTACAACGATATATCACACATGGTGGTTCAGTATCACATTTTTTCCTGCATTTTTTCCAAAAATACAATTTTTAATTTTTTGAGAAGTGTGCTTTGGAAAAACAAAACGTTCTTTTGTTGTAAACAAAAGTTTGACAGTTTGATCCATCTGTCTGGTTGCAGCATTGTCAGAGAAGCACTCTTCTCAAAAAATTAAAAATTGTATTTTTAGGAAAAATATGATACTGAACCACCATGTGTGTGATATATCGTTGTAAAGAGAAAAAAAGACCTAATCTCAAAATGTAAAAATTCAAAATGACGCCCATAAGAAAAACTAACGTTGCTACGTGTTTCTCCGTTATATTGAAAGTTATTGAAAACAGGATGCCATATTTGAAATCTCCATTAAAAAGTGTCCGAATAATGTGTTAATTAGAAATGTCTACTACCATTAGTTTATCATAAAAAAATTAAAAACGAAAATCAGAAATTGTTGTTTTTTTGCGATATCTTCAAAACTATTGAAGATATTTCAAATTTCTTTTCAGATTCTTATTCAGCACGAAAATTGGCAACTTTGCCCACATTTAACCAACTTTCTATCTCTTAAGATAAGTGAGATCCCCATAGTGGCAATCGAAAAATGGACACCGTGTATGTATCTGGTAATTTTCCCCTATGCTTACGCACTTTATTTCACTCTTGCGCCTTCATTTACTTCTAATTAATTTTAGAGGCGAATGGGATAATACCTTACACCACCCCCACCTTCTCATTTCAGGGGTACATTGAAGAGTATTAACCCGTGCATTCAATAGTGATTCCGATTCATAAGCATTATGCGAAAGGGGGGTTGGGGTGAGTAGACTTCTAACACTGCCCCTGGGGCACAAACCCGCTTGGAATTAGTTTTACCTTATTACTATCTGCATACCAAGTTTCACTGAATTCGTTTGTGTACTTTCCCAGTAGAGAGAAATAAGAAAATATTCGGGGACGGAGACGGCATGAAAAGCCGAAATTTCGTTTCGTTATCCCAAAGGTTGTCAGTTTCCATAACGAAATTGATTTGTGAAAGGAGACCTTGACAAACTTTTTATGTCTACCCTGTACTGGGGCAGACAAAATTTAAAAACTTACAGGTAATTTTTCATGTCTGTGCTTTCTGCTGACAAACTGTCATAACGTATCTAGGCCAAGTATTTTGGTTGCAATTGAAACTGAATTTTCAAAAAAAAGAAGTGTCCGTCATTTCTTGGACCGTGTTTTTTTAAAGTAAATAAACTACAGTTTTGTTATAATCAGTCCTGAACAATAGATTATTATGACTACATATAGCACTAGTGAGGAAAGTGTCGATTTTTGGAAATGGGATAGAGGAGTTGAGATTAAATTTTGTTTTATCTCAATATGATTCTGCAATCTAAGTATTGGTCGACTCTCAGAATTCTTCCCAAAATTCGAATTGAAACTTGTTGTCATTTTCCTCGTCATTTTCTATCCCAAAAATGATCTAAAGTAAATTACATTTCGAAGGACAATGAGGGATGCTTTAAAAAATGCCCGTGGACAGAGGGCAATTCGAGGTGCAATTCAACATTTTTGTCCGATTTATACTGCAGGGTCCAGTAATAAACCAACATTGGATTTAAAAAATTCTAATAAATTCGATTTGATGCAGGCGAGTTCTATAAATCGGTGTCATATTTGGTATTGTAATTTTCTACCTTATCAACATTTCTTAAACACAACATTTATGGCATAGCGCTTAGAGCGAAAATTCAGTTACAGAATCCTCCGCTTTACTCTCGGCTTTACTTTAATAAGGTATTTTTTAGGCAATATTTTAATTCATCTTATCTACTTTGAACAACCTGTATAGGAAATCAGTAGACAGGCACGGGTAGTTCACTGCACCGACTACCTGCAGGTATTGTTCAATTTTATTGCAAACATCATTCTCAAACTTGTTTTGACCCTTCAAATTCTGTGGATTATCATAAAATAATACGTACGTGACCCATATTGTACATTCTCAGACTGTCTAGATGTATTTTTATATTCCTAGCTGGGGCTAGGTGGTTATTGCGATCACCGTTTTTTGGACACTTAAAATTTCATCAAATTTCAACGTTTTAGTTTAGGTCATTTTAAGCATAAAATTTTTTACGCCCTTACGTTTTCCGGGAAAACGGCTCGACGGATTTTGTTCAAATTTTGGATATGCATATACAGTGAATTTTTTTTAAATGCGAACATAGGAGTTTGCATGCAATGTAATTTCCCTATGTTCGATTTTAAAAAAAACACATCAATCTATGAGGTGTGCGCGGTTCACATTCCCAAATCGCGCAACTTGTGTGACTATGAACAGCAACGCATAGTCTTTATGATGAAGAGCACTCGGTAAGATTTTTTTAAAGAAGCCATGTGAAGCCATAGCAACTTTAAGATACATTTTTCTTAAACTTACGATAACTTGACCTCACAGGCCACGCACTGACACAACTGATTGTGAACCAACCTTCAATTATTTGTAGGTCATGTGCACCTGGTATTCTACTAATTTGATCTATTCATTACATAAATGAAGAAAATAAGAAAATAAAATTACAATAAATGTTCGAACTGTCCTCTTTGACAATCTAAGCAATAACCTAACATTGAACCTAACCGATTTCGTAATTAAATTGGACGGCGGTATTTTTAAAAATATGACAGCTGTCAATTGTATCTACTACTCATTTGAACTACTCAATAGATTGATGTGTTTTTTTAAAAATCGAACATAGGGAAATTACATTGCATGCAAACTCCTATGTTCGCATTTAAAAAAAATTCACTGTATATTAGGTATACGGAAACGAAACATAACGGGCCGGGTTTTTGAAAAACAATTGCAGTTTTTGTATGTTAGATGATACTCTTATAAGTAATTTTAAAAACTCACTATAAAGGAACACTTCTAAACGGTAAAATGCAACCATTTTGACATCAGCGAAATTTGATATCTGTGTAATTATGTTCCCTTTCCAAAAATTATGGTTTATATTGTGTAGGTACTATGTAAACCGAAGGGGGGGGGGGGGTCCGAGAGTATAAAAAGATCTTGTGATAGTAGGTAAAAGAGCATTAAAACGTTCTTCCGGGGGATGGGGGGGCGAGGGGGGGGGTATTGATTCCATGTTCTCCTCCCTATAACTATCATAAGGTCTTCGTATGCTAGGGAGTTTTCCAGACCCAGAATCTTCCTTTCCTGACGAATATTCCATACTTCATGAGCACCTGGCGTTCCAAAAATTATTGTTTATATTGTATGTGTATTATACGTTTTGGGAAAGAATGTATGTCTGGGGGGTATGGAATAGTTGTGGAGAAAATAACATTAAAACCGAGATTAAAATGTTCTGCTATGGGGGCGGGGGTTATTGATTCCGTGTTCTCTTTCCTATAGCTATCATCTACGTATACTGGGGGGCATTCCAGACGGATACGACTCAACTTACATAATGTGCGTCGTTTTTTCTTAACTCATACCTCGTAAAAAATATAAAAAAACCTTGTGTGCAAACCGAGGTGCAAACTATAGATGGTTGCGTATCTACAGGAATTATTTTTGAATGTACAGGGTGTCCCATTTTTACGGTTTCAATAAGTAACTTTTTTAATAGAACACCCTGTATATTTTTAATTGTTTCGATGTCGTTTGTTAACTTCTACTTTGAACGCTATTTACTTTTTGATTTCTTCTAAGAAATAAAGAAGGCAACCGCTATTTTTATGAACACACAAACTATGAAAAGAAATGTAGCAAAAAATTGTTTTAATACTACCTGCATTTTTGTAAAAAATATTGAATAACCTAAAAACCACGGGGTTTAGATGGCAACATTGACAAAAAATCGAGAAGCTAATAGCCTTCAATTCCAGAGGAACCGAGCACTCAGGAATACCAGCGGAAAGTTGAATTTGCAGTGCTAGAAAGGTCATTTTGGAATACTTTTCCTCCTGCTTTGCGAGGAAAAAGAATTCCAGCCGTAACTCACTTGCCGTTGTGATTTCCACGTTCGGACTCATTGTTTGTTTGTCTTTTCGGAATAGCTAGTGCCGAATTCTTCTTATCGTTGTTATTGTCTTTCTCCTTTCCTCAAGGGCACCCGTTATGAGCTGCTCCACTTGTGTCCCTCCTTTTTTTCTCTCTTGTTAACCATCTGGCGCCCAATACTGGAGGTGCAATAGCTACTACGACATTATCTGTCAGTTTCGTCAGCTTTTGAGGAAAGCTAAATTGGGAAGGGGGGGGGGGGTCGTATGAACAACGAGCCATCGACAGTACGGTCAAAAACGATTCTTTCAAACGTGGTATAGGTGTGTAAAATGCACAGAAAAGATAGAAGGTTAACTCGGTAATTCTCGACACATGTTGCAGAAACAATTCGGGATGATGCCCAATGTGATTTAGGCACCAATTTCTTTGGTGAAACACACTGTTTTAATACACATGCACTAAATTTTGTGATCTGTTTGATTAATCTGAATTAAATTTTTTTTTTCAGCTTTCACCCGCATACAGCGGGGCACCAGTCGCAAGTCCCGGTTACGTGGAGGGTCGGTCGGGTTGGGCCGGTCCACCGGTAACTGGCCAACATGGTCCCGGTAGTCCGGGACCACCTTCATCGACAACGTCAGCAAGTCAGTCATCTCCTCAGCCACAACAACCAAGTCACTCACCGGGACCCGGTTTACCACCGAGTCCCAATCCTCAGCACCCCTCTTCGCAATCCCTTCAAGTAAGTGACCACTTCGAACGGTAACCACGTTATTTGCCCTTATTTACAGAATTACCAAAGCCGACCTGCGCAACCCACGACTCCCAACGCACACGCTCCAGATGCAGCGGTAAGTGTTTGCCATGGAAAAATTTCCCATTTAAATATGCTACCGCGAATCGGTCTAGATTTCTCGCTTTATGAAATTGTAAATTTCGTCATTTCTATTTAAGTATTCAGAGGTTATCGTTTAGGTTATGGAATCTGGAATCTCAGCATGCATAAGAGTTGAATTATTTATTCGTTGTACCGAATAAAATTTACATAAACCATTGCGATCATTACAATTGAAGGTATAACTTTTTCGTTAATTTTGATGGCGGCAATTTATCTTTGTCATTGGGAGAAACTTTGACCTACGGATTTACACAGTTCAAATTTTAAGTGAGAAATATATTGAACTAAATTCTTTATGTGTTTATTATGATAAAGTAATTACATAAGAAAGCGATATAATTAAAAAGTTTGACCTTCGTTGATGTAGACACCACGTGCTTTTCTCTTAAGTGGGGTAAATAAAATATTAAACCTCTCGTTAAACTGATTAGTCATTTGGCTCCGAAAATGTCTGATTTGCAAATGCTGTTTGCAGGATAATTATAGTTCATAGTCTTCAACAGCATAATTTTGAAAAAAATTTAGAGTAAACTGAAATGCATCCTTAAAGGTAAACCGGTTGGGATTCTTCTTTCCCATAATCTTTGTAGTACGCATGTATCGTGGACGTATTTCGCATATTAAATCTTCTCGAGAATTATGATCTCATTTAAATATGTTTGTCGGGGAAAAGCTCCACATTTAAACAAAAAAATAGAAAATTAGTCTATTTCTTAGACATACAGCTTAACATTGAAGAGGTATGGATTTTACAAATAACGCGAAAGCAAGAGAAGAACCAGGATGCGTTCAATCAATCCGTCTAATCCAAGTTCGTAGACTATGTGAACATTTTGCCACAGAGGCATAGTGAAACCAGTAAAAAACAAAACTTAATCTATGATAGAAACACTCCTAAATAAATCAAGGAAGTCGGTATTAATTATGGGATGTTGTCTATTTACAACTGCATGGGATAATCTTAGGCACTAGTATTGCCCAAATCCAAAGACGGACGAAACGCAAACAAGAAAACGGGTCATTCACCCAAAATAATTACCCAGACCTATGCTATATGTGGTGGAATTTTCCACCTAAAGTTTCGTTCCATAAACCTTCCCGCGGACAGGTAATTTTTCCACCAATCACTCTTGTCAACTTTTTCAATAAAGAAACACGAAGCGGTATTCTTCATGGGCATCCGCTCCCTGTACCAAAAAAACTTTGAGGGATGGTCGATTAATTGTAAGCCTTGGCGTTCTCAGGTTGAAATAGTAAAAATCAACCATGCTGTGTAGCATGCTCGATTGGGAGAATTTCCGGAGGAATGCCATGGAACGCAAATACTCCGTGTTTTCTACCGAATATTCCTGGTCTAAAGGGCCCCATATATGGAACGATTGGTCGTTACAATCGATCGCTTACATGGTTTCGAAGCCGAACGATAATTGAATATGTCATACGTTCTCTGTTAAAATGGAAAACGGAATTCTTCTTCCTAATTTTGCGTTTTCTAGCCACTGGACGATCTTATGAAAATTTAAAGATCTCAGCGGTGATTTTATTTTTGCCTTTGCTACCACAGTTATTGGGAAAAATCATCCCAAAAATCTGGGAGCCATCAAGGCTCTTGCTCTCTGAATAAATCAATAAATTCAATCAAATGATCATTTCTCCATGTAGTCATTTTTTAGTTTTGTGTAGAGTGTAGGTACGTCCGCTTGTGATAGCTGCAGCGCGAGCGGCGCCCAGAGTCAGACTGAGCCAGAAAATCGAATCGTTGATCGCAATGAGCCATCATACACTGTCGATTCATCGTTACAATATTCACGATTGCATGCGTTTTTGTTGCGATGTCCCATACCCCGATTAAGTAAATCGATCTTTCATACACTATCGGTTCGTCGTTTCGATCGGTCTGAAACGAATCGGACTGATCAATCGCATCGTGTATGGGGCCTTTAAAATGGGTCTACAATCCATCGTGTAAGTCAGATTTGCTGTTCTCTTAATTCGTTTATCACATTTTACCCGTGTGAAGATAGCAATAATCCCAGCCCAGCCCTGCTTGGTTAAAAACTAATTTATCCCATAATGTTAGTTTCGAAAAATCAAGGGTGTTTTTGACATTCTCAAAACACTTTTTTAAACGGGACGAGATACGCACAAATTGAGTAAACGTGCAAAATGTCAAAGTCCTGGGCGTACTTTGATGTTTTTTATGTTTTTTTTTAATTGGATGTTACTTAAAAATTGTGCAAAATAGAATGTAATGATCGTGTAGCAAATTTAAAGCGGATAGAAACACTTCGACATTTAAAATATTTAATGTATGTAAATTGAGGATTTGCTACACAGTCGTTACTTATTTTGAACAGTTTTTTTGGGATTTCCCAACAAAATTCAGTTAAAAAATAAATTTGAAATTCTGGTTTTTGTTTTCATTTTGAACATTTGTGTCTCGTCGTGCAAACAACTTTATTTGACACAAAGACACCTTTGATTGTTCGAAACTAAAATTATGTCACAAATTAGTTTTAATTATTTATTATCCTTCTCTTGTTCTGGGCCCAATTACAGAGTGACCCGCATAATGCTTTTTAGAGGTGCCTCTGCAGAAGGTCTTTAAGTTGTTCTTACTACTCCGGTATTTACCTTACGAATTAGGAAAACTGCAGGAAAACCTCTGCCACAGATGATTCACCTCAACCCAGGTTCGAACACCCGACCTCCGGATTTATAGTCCAACGCTCTACCACTGAACCATAAAGCCGGTGGTTTCTAACTAAGCAGGGCAGACCCTCAAAAGCTCAAATTCAATTCCAACAACCCGTAGAAGAACGCCTGCGGAAAGACGAGGAGTGTACATGTACATATACGTATACCTACCGGGCCGTGCACTTAAACAACTTTAGGGACGTGGTGATTTTTCAATTTTGTTTAATCTCCAACAGTTTTGGCCCGATTGTTTTCAAATTGGTATCGTCGAAAAGATCTTGTCATAACTTCTGCGTTTTTTTTCCTAGGGGCGAAATACTGTTTGCAAGGCGCGTATCTTCGAGGAGTAGTCGACTTTGGCCGCCCAAAAGTTTCTCAGAGTTCGAATCGTGGCTTCTTTTTCTCGCGTCGCCAATAGAAGCTCGAGCTATGAGGTGTCCCAAACATTGAGTACTTTTTTGTGGAGGGTTTTTAGCAAAATCCACCAAATTGCGTGTACCGACAAAGGAAATGTGGTTGCTCCCGACAAAATTTAATGATGGTGGACTCAAAACTTCAAAGCGAAATGCGTGACTAAACTGAGTTCGCACTTCAAAAGTTGAGGGAAGGATTAATTATGAAGTTACTTTTCACATGCCCAGTGAATCGTACTGATGCATTTTTCACTAACTTTAGTAGGCGCTATCGGCGGTCTACAAAAGGTTGATTCATCCTGTGTAGCAAGAAGCACGAAATGTTTGGGTTGCAGTTGAAAATTGATGATCACTGTCATTTGGGTGATCAATTTGGTACCAAATTTTGGCTGTTTCTCACACAGCTGTTACGCTTTTATGTGGCCCTTTAATGTGTAATAAGTAGGCGCCCCGCGTGTAGTTAGGGCTTGAACTGTGCGCATGTAGCGCTTAATACTTACGTGAACTATTCCAATTAGTGAAGTAGTGAATGAGTTTAATCGACGTTTAATTACGAACGTTTATTGGAGACGATATCGCTGGGTAAGTAATTTCGGAGTCGGTACTAAAACACATAATTGCCTTGAATTCGAAACGTATAATTGGGCAATAATCGAAATTAATAAACTGTTATCGGAACAAATATTTTGAATGGACAATTTAACAGAGAATTTTATATCTTTGTATGTCGTAAACTGAGCGATGTGGAGCGTAGTACATAAAAACTATTTTTAGTGTTAATGTAAAACAATGCTTAACCTTTCGTATAAAACAATCTTTTGAGGCAGGTCAGTATTCCACAAAAATGATAAGGAGATCTTTTTGAATATCATTTTTGTTGTGTACTAAAAGATAGTGTTATCGTTTATTTTTACAAGGCCAATTCTTGTGTCAGTCGCGTGGTCTTTGCCAAGTCGATATGGTCGAATTTTCCACCCGTAAATAATAAAAGTGCTTCCAATTGTCATTGTGATTGACACCCCTAACAATTAACGTATAACCATTGTTTTAGTTCATAGATTTACCCTTTTTCTCTTATTTTAAACCTTTGCAAGTGCATTTAGAGCAACGAAATGTGATTAGCGTTGGAACGTGATTAGAGTTTATGAACTGTTGTTACTAAAAGGGCTCTTTGAACGTTGAACGTCATTGTAACTTCATTACTGAGGTTGCATTGCCCGCTTGTAGTAACTTATCAATTCCTGCTGCAATTAACCGTAACCAATTGAGCTGACATAAACTAATATCGTACGTTAGTGACCGAATTTATAAGGATTAGGCGCCGTTGCCTGTTGGTTGAATGAGAACGGTCGAGTGTAGCTTCGTATTGATTGGCTCTGTAACATTTGGCAACGGCGCAGGTTATAGAATGTTGCGTTGCAATCTTATCCTTTGGTGAACTTTATTATATCCATTTTATTAATTTCGCCCGAAGATGGACATGTAGGCGAATCTACACAGAATTTCTAAGGTGGTAAACTCGCAATGTAGAAAGTGTGTTTGTTATAAATACATTTTCGTCACGAGAATGTTGACGTTTACGCTTTTTCCTTGTTTATGTAAGCCTAACCGCCTCTTTCCAATTTGCACTCATTGCCACATTAATCAATTGCAATTTGGAAGTGCCTCGCTTCTTCAAGAACCGCAATAAAAGGTCGCCTCTTTAATTACAGGTTTGCATCTGACACAGACACGTTATTTCGGGAAATACTATACCATAGAAAAGAAACTGTGATGTGTTTACTACGGAAACGCTGAATGAAGAAAGTATTGTTTACAATTCATTTATTATTTGTTTGCTTTA